AAAAAAAAAAAAAAAAAAAAGTGGAATTGGGGCTGGGTAGATCAGGGGGTCTTACTTATTATGGCACTTTTAAAGTTCTGACTATGCTCAGTTTTGAAGAATAGCTGTTTTAGGTAATGCTTTCCATTTTTCTTTCTGTGCCGACCCAGTTGTGGAGAGAAGAACTTCTTACCACTATTTTCTGGGAAACTAGAATAAACGTTGAAAATTAAATAGCAAGTAAAAGACCTTCGTGTTAGAATGTGAGACAAAACACAGCTCCTTAGGAGCCACTTTGAAAAGACTCCGTGTGTTTAATTTTTCATTTGTTTTGCCCCATTTATTTATGTCTGTTGCTTTCTTGCCTGGTTTCCATTGTTTTCCTTAAGTAGCTGCTTTGCTCTGTGTCTCTTGGGGGAGGTTTATAGTGGAAGTTTCTGGAAAAAGCAAAATGCTTAAACATTCTTTAAATAGATATTGATCACTTATTGCCAGGCAAAGTGCTAGGCATTGTAGGACACACAATGAATATGTATTTTACTTTTATGGTGTACAAGTTTAGAGTATAATACACGATTATAGTATGAAAGGGTGTCTCTGAAGTGCTATAGGGGCAAGGAGGGAATGGAGGAAGCTGAGGCCACATGTAATGTCTGAGCTGAGATTTGAGCAGGTCAGAGTTCCCTTGTCAAGAAAAAGGGAATAGAAATTCCCTCTAGAAAGAGGGAATAACCTATGCAGAGGTATTGAGGTAAGAAACAGTATGACTTTTTCCAGGATCTGCAGTGATGTGTTTAGAATTTAGTGTATTACATGGGAGATAAGAGATAAAGCTAAAGAGGTGACAAGAGACAGGATATTCTGCTAAGGATTTTAGGTCTTTATTTTGAATCATTGAAAGATTTTAAGCAGCGGTGAAAATGATTCAAATTATATTCTAGGAAGATCACTTTAACAGCAATAGAAAGGAATGATTGAAGAATGGGACAGATTGAAGGTAGGGAGAACTGTTAGGAGAGATGTAGTAATCCCAAATATGTATGTGCCTGAACCAAGACAGAGGTGTTGAGGATGGAGAGTATGGGTTTTTGCGTTACCCTTTTTAAGGTAGAATGGGATTTGACTTGGTGACTGATACAGGATTAATTAGAGGGGAGGCCATAGAATGGATGACTCTCAAGTTTTGGAATACGATACCAATAACCAGAATAAGTATATAGGAGAAGGAGGTGGGGGATAAGTTCAGTATGGTACATTTTTGTGTTAAAAATTCTGGTGGGACAGTCAAGTGGAGATGTTTTGAGATATATTTACTGTGATACTCAGGAGACAGATTGTGGCTGGAGATAGAGATTTGGAATTCATTATTTGTAATTGATGGTCCAGAGGTGTGAATTAAAGTGCCCAGGCTGGGTATAACGGGGGAAGCTAGATAGATAGTGGTCAAAGATAGACCACTAACATTTAGGAGTTAAAGAGAATGAAGGTAGTAGTGTAGTGCTGGAACTGTTCTATTCTTTTCTTTTTCTGTACTCAGTTGCTCCTAACCTACTTCTGCAAAGGAACATACTTTTTCCCTTCCTGATTATGTTTAAGTCTTTAGATTTATATGGTAGTCTTTATCATAATATTTGCTTTTTTGTTTTATTTTGTTGTATTCATTTTAGAGAAGAGGAAATGCTTCAAATTTCATGTAACTGTCCGTTTGTAACTCATGTTGGATATCTTATGAGTTTGAAGTGGATCATCAGATTAAAAAATGTATGATTACGTTGCATGTCATCTATATTTAGAGTTTCCTTAACTTAATATAATTAGGGTTGGATGGGTATTTTGCAGTTTTTATAATTGTACGTCTCTCTTACCTAATTTGAGGACCTCATTTTGTTGCTTTTGAACATCCTGATTTGAACTTTGTATTTTAGTTTGTGGGAGAAAAGGAACGAATTACCTCTCTGTTCAATAGATGTATTGTATGTGTGGGGGATCATCTACTAAGTATGAGGGAGTCATCTGGGAACCTCTTAGTTGTACTGTTTATTCTGCATGTTACTCAGTGTGGTGTTTTTGTGATGGTTTATTGGATGGTGATGGTTTATTGAATGGTGATATGTCACACGTGTGTTTTCCACATTAAGCTTTACCATTTAAGAAATTTTAGCCATACTGTGGTCCTTAACTAATGGTTGAAAAAGGGGTGAAGGTGAGGATTTGAAACAGTATATCCTTGGAACATAAAATGTTTCTTTTTTTTTCTTTTTATAATTTCTGAAGTATTTGGAAGCTTTTACGATATTTTTTGTTTAGACATACTTAACTTTTATTGGTGTCAGATGTGTTATAACAGTGCTTATGTTATAAAGTAACAAGATGTTTTTAAAAATCATTGATCAACATTGCATATATTATTGACTTTATACTATATTACTGGAACATAGAGGTACGTCCTTTTATTTAAGTGATTTTAAAGTTATTGGAATTTATAGATTTAAAATAATGGTAATAGAATGATAGTATTAATATGCTAGTAGTTATGGTTCTAAAACAGATCTGTGTGTGTGTAGGGGTGTGTGTATGTCTATATACCACACAGACAAGAATTTGAAGTAAGTTTTTCCATAGAATTTAATAAAAGGATTATATATATATATATATGCATAATATTGATTTTACTGGTTTACCTATTATTTTATGAGATAAATTATTTTACCGTTGCTTAATAAGAACAGATGTCTGAAATTTTACATAGGGAGTATTA